CTGACAAGGGCACGCCACAGGGCTCTCCCCTATCACCAATACTCTTCCTCATCAGCATGCTAGAGGCAGCAAAGGTACAGGCAGCACCATCCCAAAAAGCGGAAACCAAGGTCCTGATGTACGTGGACGACATCCTGATAGCAACGACATACCAGGACGCAAAAGAAGGAAAAAGGCTGCACCAGGAAACCATTAGGAAACTTGAGACAACCGCAGGCAAAGACGGGTACGAGTTCGCACCCAGTAAAGCCGAAACAATCTTCGTGCACACCCCACCACAGAGCAAGTTCGAAGTCCGCCTACGGGGACAAGAGATATCCGCTCAAAGCCACCTGAGATGGCTCGGATACTTCCTAACAGACAAATGGAAATGGGACCACCATGTCAGGCACTGGATCAACAAAGCCACCAGCTCCGGACACCGCATAAGGGCAGTAACGTCCAGATACAGCCAAGGGGGACTGAATGCAGGGACAACACTGCGGCTAATCAAGGGTCTGATAATCCCACAGCTGACGTACGGGATAGAGACATGGGGAAACAAAGGCCTGTTAAGAGAAGCGCAGGCGGCCCTCAACAAGATAGTCCGAACGGCCTTTGGACTGGAAAAGAAAACACCGGTCCTGGCCTTCCTTACCGAGCTCGGGATCCCACCACTAGACCTCATGATGCAATTCAGACAAAACCTACTGGCGTTACGAGCCACCACCAAGGACCGCCACAACACTTGGACAAAGAAATGGATGGCCAAACACGGGGTAGAAAACGTTATCGCCACCACCGGCAATTACCAGCTAGGCAAAGACGCACTTAAAAACCGAATGCAACAAGACTGGGCAGAAAGGATCACCAACGAAGGGACCAGATACCAAGGAAGGCCTGGCAAAGCGCACAAACACCTGCACGCCATAACTAGGCAAAACTTTAAAAGGCTACTAGGGCTAAGGGCAACGGCAGGTTGGCCATACCAGGAGATAACCGGCGCCAGAAGGAGATGCCCGTGCGATTGGGACATAATAACCTTTGACCACCTAGCAAACAGATGCGGGATAACGACCGCCACAGCGATCGGGCTTTACGATAACAAGAGGCAAGGGGAACTCCTTCAGTGGATGGACGGCTGGCCACACGAACTTAAGGGGAAACCAGAAATGACCGGGAGTGGGAACGGCACCCAACAACCAGACACCGCCCAAGTAATCGGAGCCAACGTTAATCTACCCACAAGCCAGCCAGCACAGGCACCAGTGAAACCCAGGCCACGGCGACCCTGCAAGATATGCGGGGAAATGGTACTGAGAGACATGCAGCATGAGTCGGCACATGCCAGGATACACGACCCGGCAAGAAGGGGTCGCTAGGCTATGACGACGGAAGACACGGAGGAGGCGCCCAGTGGACCAGGGGAGTAATGCTGGTCAGATGGTTATTTCATAATGTACACGACCACGGGGCACAGGGGGCAGGCGTGGGTTTCTTTTGTTTGCTTGGATTTCCTTTGTTCACGACTACGGGGCACAGGGGGCAGGCGTAGGTTTCCTTTGTTGGTTTGGATTTCTTTTGTTCACGACCATGGGGCCAGAGGGGCAGGAATGGGTTTCTTTTGTTGTTGGATTTTATTTTGTCTACGACCATGGGGCCGGGGGGCAGGAATGGGTTTCCTTTGTGACAAATCAAAGCTGTTTGAGGGAGAGGGGAAGAATGGAGTGGGAGTTTCTTTTGTATGGCCTACAGGGGGGTGTAGCGAAGGATTTCGTTGAGGGGGGCCCAGGGCTGGGGGCAGTATCCCATGCCGTACTCCGATTACTTTAGTTAGTAGGTGAGGTAGTGGAAGAATAAAAGGTTTACACACACACACGCACAGGTTTACTAAATCTTTCGAGACTTCGCACTGAGCTGAAGAAAAGGAGGTAGAGAGAAAAAAACCAATTCAGAGGAGGAGGAGGTGGTGGAGGAGGAGGAGGAGGCACTCACCGCACGTTCACGTTGATCACTTGTCATGCAGGAAATCTATCTGGGAATATTGTGCAAGCTTAGCCGCGTAGTAGGTTTTTTCTTTTCTTTTTTTCTTTCTTTCTTACTCCTTTCGAAGTCTGTGCGGTACTGCGTCGAGCCCTATCGGTACGGTATCGTAGAGTAGTGTACTTGGGTGGTCCGGCAGGACTTGGTTAGGGGTACAGTACTATACCGTGTGAGGGAGAGAGACTGCAGGTCGAATTGCGAAAACACATGATATGGGATGATAATGTCCACGGTGAAAAGATAAACCACGACTACAGGTACTTTACTCACTGTTGAGAGAAAAAAATTAAAATAAACTGCAAGGCCTCTTCCCCTGGGTCCTGCCTCTCGTAATAAGAATAAGGCACAGGAACAACAAATATTCCATGACCAAACCGGGTAAAAAAAAAAAAAAAGGCCGTCCAACTAAGCTATTACCCATTTCTATCATGACCCGGTCTCGACGATAACATAACGCATAACAATTCCTTTTAGGAGAAAAACTCCCCCCCCGACGCAACGAGTAAGATATCCATCCATCCAGCCAGCCAGCCAAGCATTAACGTGATTTACAGGGGGGGTGGGGGGGAACCCTAGTAAGCGATCGCCTACCTATATGTTAGTACGAGTATAATAGCAACCGGTTGCGAAAATCAGTTCCCGCATTTTGGGAGGAGTCTCTTGGTGGAACATGGAGTCTGGTTTCGTCGATGACGGGTTGGTACTCTTGTATGGGGGTTCTTATTCCGGACGGGATCGGTGCTTATATCTGACATTGTATAAAAATGGGAAAGCGTAGCGTGGAAGTGAATGGTTTCTCGGTTCGAACAATTAGATTGTGTATCATACTTTGGTCTCTTGATTGCCTTTTTCACCACTAAGCCTTGATTTATATATGGGGTATAAGAGGGCTGAAATATAGAACGCTGTTGCAGGGGTGGCCAAATCTAGGTAAAAAGAGAAGAGTGGTAAAGAAAGTTCTCTCAAAACTGTAAAGATGCTTCAAATTCTGAGCTATTATCAGGAATAGAAGGAAACGGTCTGAGAAAAGTACTATATGAAGATTGGAGTCTCCTGGGAACGTGGGCGTGGAAATAGTACTCGACCATTCATAAAGTATTCGGATGCCTTGGCGCCAAGGTATACTGACAGGCGGCCTAAAGATGGAATCTTGGCTCTAGGATATCTGAATACTTTATGAATGGTACAAGTGCTAGTACTTCTCTATTAGTAAAGTAAACTGTTATCTACAAGATAGTAAAGTTCTATCATACCAGTATTTAAATTTATACCCACAGATCTATTTGAGGAAATTCTCGTCTCTAATAGTGCTAGTCTAAATACTACCCATTTCTGATACTCCTCACATAAAAAGATATACCATAGAGTGAATCTGAATTCTGGTTATAGTGATTATAGTTACATTAGTGGAGAGTTTCCTTCCCTTGTATATTTCTACTATGGATATTTTCCATCATCTCAAAATCAAGTTACAGCAAGTAAGAATTTGAAGGTCTCAGAGTCCTGTTTTTTAAAATTAGAAGAAGAGCTGTTCATGACTAGGAGGTGACCCATGACTGGTTAGAAAATGCTGCCTGATCATCTACTTGAATAAAGCATACAACATATTATTAATAATACAGTATTTCAGAACATATCGATGTTTCTAAATATTTTGTAAATCGCCACTTTCTTATTGAACATGGGAGGGAGTATCAAAAAATACCAGCTACCATATAAATTATGGTACAGTATATAAGAGTACACTTTTCTTTATACATGCTGATGGCAACCAAGTACTCAACTGCCGTAACATTTCTTGAAACAAAGGTATCATCATATCTAGAAGTGCAATGATTTCTATTTATAAGGACCTTGAAGCGTAGGTTGCCCCCAGACGCATTCTAAAAAGCACACTGCACTTGCAACAGGTAACCTCAAACGATAAAGCTCGGTCACAACATACATGCGTTCCCAGGGGAAAAGAAGAAAGAAAAAAAAAAAAGGTTTCCGTTTCCAGCACCAGAGTATTTCCGACCCTGCATGCTTCGCCGATGCATAATTGCTTGTTACGTACGCTATTGATATATACGTGCGAAAACACCACGTTACACACACACACACCCATATATTCTGTGCAGCGCTTTTTTTTCTCTTTCTAGCTGAAAGCCCGGGATTAGGCGGAGAATCTTTCCTTCCCCCCACACTCGCCAAACCCCCAACCCGGGCCAAACTAGAACTGGTTGTCAGATCGAGTGATTTTTCGAGACGCGGCCGAGCGGGCTGGCTGACGACTTAGTTGCGGCTGCGAGGACGGTATGGTGTTACTTGCTGCGAGTGATTACTACCGGACAAAAATAGATATTCTACAGAGTGCTGCATCCAGTCGGGAGGATTCCAGGCGATTTTGATATCCGCCTTATCCGGGAGGGAGGAAGGGGGGGAGAGGTTGATCCGAGAGTTTGGTTTGTGTTATGGGTTGCGTCGTCTTGTGCAGTACTGTTCCCGAGCGGCGTAGTGTTCTTGGTGTTTATTTATTTATTTGCTTATTTATTTATTTTGGAAAGGGAGCTCTTTGATGTGTGCTGAGGACTGTGTACGCAAAACATTGCACGAATGGGTTTTTGTTTCCATGATATATGA